GAGAAGAGGATCAGGAGTTGAAGGCCAGCCTCAGCAATTTAGTGAGACCCCAGTTCAAAAAGAAAGAAGAAAAGATGGAGCGCTGAGCCTGGTGTGGTTGTTCCTGACAGAAACACCTGTCTATGAATAGTTTCTTCAAGAACTTGTGCTCTTGGTGCCTTGTGAGTATTTGAAGGCTTCCAGCAGAAAAAGGCCTGGGTTAAACCAAAGCAAACCTTACTATAATATATTTGAAATTTAGCTTTCCAGTCAAGTGGGGTGGGACGATGAGTGCTCCTGGGCCTGTTCAGAATGGAATGCTGTTGATCTGTAAGTGGCGTCTAGAGTGTGTTTGTACCTCGCCCAGCAAACACTGCTATTCAATGATTGTGCGGTGCTGGCTCCTGCAGGGGCCCTACAAAGCTTAGCCCCTAAAAAGAAGAACCTTGTTAATAATATGCATCGAATTCACACCGTTTCTGCTGTTTAGTGCTCAGAGAGCTTTTCTGAATCTTTTTTTTTTTAAAGAGAGAGAGAGAATTTTTTAATATTTATTTTTTAGTTTTCGGCGGACACAACATCTTTGTTTGTATGTGGTGCTGAGGCTCGAACCCAAGCCGTACGCATGCCAGGAGGGCACGCTACCGCTTGAGCCACATCCCCAGCCCCGCTTTTCTGAATCTTCTAATTTTTTTACATGTTAAAGCCTGGTTTTGCTGGAGCCCCCTCCTGCCCCCCAGGGCCGGGCTCTGCTCTATCCTGTTGCACCAGGTGGTTTCCAGTCCCAGAATGGTGCGTCACGGGGCTTGGCCGCCATCATACTACTCCCCCTGTCCATCGTCCCTACGATTGTGCCCACCTTCCAGTACAGGTCAGTGAGGGGTGGCTGTCACCTGTTTCCTCTCTCCACACCCCGCAGTGTCACATTGGAGGTGGGTTGCCCACGAACAGTCCATGCTGCCCATCTGGGCTCCTGGTTTGGAGCCATGAAGAATGACAAGATTCAAATCACATCGGAGCCCAGCCCAGAGCTGATGGAGCTGGCCATAGATGACCATTGCTCCAGGAGTATTTCCTAAGCATCCCTTGGTCCTCTGCATATGCCCCCTCCTTCCTAGCCAGCCTATGACATAGTCCCAGGTCCCCACGGTACAGGTGAGGAGCAGAACTCAGAAGTTACACAGCCTCTGTCCAGTCACACAGGTGACTAGAGGCAAAGTGGGAGATGGGTGTCAGAGCCTGTGTGGGTGGAGTCCTGTCTACTTGCATGGAACCAGCAGCAGGCCAAAGTGAACACTGAAAAAGATTCAAAACGAAGTTTCCAGGAGGAAGAGCAAGAAGAGTCCAACTCCAAGGACAAATAGAGTCCCAGGAGGAAAGAAAGCAGGGCTTTTCCTGTGCAGTTAGCCACGTGGCTGGTCGGGTTAGGAGTCACTAGGGAAGGCCATCTGGGCTTTTAGAAAAGGAAATCCTGTGCATGCATCCTGCCCTGCATTAGCCCAGGGTTGTCGCGGAATTTTCATTTTTTTAAAAAAAGTGGATTTTAATTAAAAAGAAATCTAAAACTCATAGCCAGAGAGTAATTATTAAGTTGAAATACTTGGAGCCTGGACGGCAGGACAGACACTGGACATGCTTGTCCTGCTGCAGCTCCACAGGACCTTGAAGAAGAGGAGAGTCAAAGCTGAGTGTGGAGGGGACTTGATGTCACAATTCCACCAAGACGGGGAGCACCTCTAGGAGGAGTGAGGAGGAGAGGAGATCAGGCTGCCCACCAGTGACCGGTGCCTACAGAGACTCTCCATATGGGCTGTAGACTGTCCCAGGGAGACCCCAGACTGACTCTGTGTGACTAAAGTTGGGGGCAGAATCCCCAAGGCTAGCCAGTCCCCACTGATTTCTATACCTGCCGGGTTTGAAGACAGGTGTCCTCAATCCTCCAGCCGCATCCTGCCTGTGCCTCACCTCTTAAGTCAGCCCAAAGGACTCTGGGAGGATGAGGTCATTTCCTCAGGCTCCTTTTGCTCCTCCCTAAGAATACTGCACCCCCCCCCCCCAAAGCAACTTTCCTGGGCCCTTTGGGCCTAAAGGGCTACTGGAAGCAGAGGGCAGGGATGAAAAACAGGAGAGGTTTGTGCCCTTGGTACCCTTTGGTCAGCCCCTCCCCAGGTCCCCTCTCTCATCCCTGGCAACCACTCTGCTTCTTGAGGTTGACTATTTCAGATTCCACCTAGAAGTGAGATTGTGCCGTATTTGTGCCTATCTGGCTTGTCACTTAGTATAATATCTTCCAGGTTTATCCATGCTGTCAAAAATGGCAGGATCGCCTTCCTTTCTAAATTTTTTTTTCTTAGATCTTTATTTTATTTATAATGGTGCTGAAAATTGAACCCAGAGCCTTACATATGCCAGGCAAGTGTGCTACCGCTGAGCCCTAGCCCCAGCCCAGGATCTCCTTCTCTCTCTCTCTTTCTTTCTCTCTCTCTCTCTCTCTGTGGTATGCACATATACTACATTTTCTTTATTCATTCATCTGTCATTAGATATTTAGGTTGTTTCTTAAAATAGAAAGAAAATAGGAAGGAAGGGAGGGAGGCATTGAGGGAAAGAGAAAAGGAAGGGGGCAGAAGGGAAGGAGAAGGAGAGGAAGTGGTCACTAGGGTAAGTGGTGCATTAATCAGCTTGACTGTGGTGATCATGTCAATGTGTGTATACACTAAAACATCAGGCATGCCTTGGGGCTGGGGATGTAGCTCAGCCCTGTAAAACAAAGCATTAAATATACCTTTTTAAAAAAAGGGTGTTCCTGCCGGAGAGGCAGAGGTTGGACAGCTGCGTGGTGAGACTTCAGGCCTGGGGCTGCTTTTATGGGTCTGTCTCTTTGTGAAATGAAAAAAATAATCTCTCTCTAACTTAGAGAGTTGTTTTAAGAAATAAAATAAAAGAGATGATGTAGGTGAAATGCTTAGGGCAGCTCCTGACAGTTTTAAACTCCCAAACCAGTGAACATGAAATTTGGTCACTCATTCTCCTGGTGTATTCTTGAGACTACATCGTCACCACACAGTGGGGACCAAGTCTTAATTTGACTCTTTTTTCTCCCTTTATTATTGTCCTCTTTTTAGATTTTTTTTCCTAAAATGTGTGCACCTTCCACACACAGGAAGTCTGATTTTTAAGCTGCCTCATCATATTTAAAGTAGACAGAGCATAAAAGCCTTAAAATAAAGAACACTAGTGAAGCCTGGGCTGCTTATTTTACACATGGGAAAACCAAAATATGAAAAGAAGTTAAATGTCCCAAAGTTCCCACTTCCAGTTAAGAGATAGACAGACCTGCAGTTAGAACCCTTGAGAGCCGCATGTCCCCTTGGTGTGAATGGACACCCTAACTGGGCCAGCCTTTGGCTGTGAGTGGGGTCTCCTGGGAACATCCTGTCAGTGGTTTAGAGCACAGATGCACTCAAACTTACCTTCAGCCAAACCCAACTCAGCCTTGGTATTTGCCAAGTCTGTGGCCTGACCTAGGGGATCAGGAGGCCGTGCAGTCTAGGGGACCTTCTTTCTGGAGCTCTGGAACCTCCATAGGACCACGGGTGCTGTGATCATATGGATTATCAGGGTGGTTCTTCTGCATTCCCACATCAATAATGCAGCCTTGTCATTTGTATTTATTGCTAATATCGGAACACTCATTCTCAGGTATGCATTTTAGATGTAGCTTGGAAGGAGGGGATCCCCTTATCTGCATGTTGAAAGTCAGCAGGAAATAACTGTACATTTACCACTGCAAGAACAAACATTATAACAGATGAGTGATGTTCATGGAAGTTGCTCCTTTTCATTCAGGAAAAAGGTAACAACTTTTTTTTTTTATGGCAGCTGGGGATATTGCTAAGCAAGCACTCTACTACTTAGCAATATCCCTTCCCTTTATTTAAAATTTTACATTGAGATAGGATCTCACTAAGTTGTCCAGGCTGGCCTCCAACTTAGAATCCTCCTGCCCCAGCTTCGAAGTATATGGGATTACAGGTGTGTGCCACTGCACCCAGGTTAACAACTTTGAAGTAGTTAAATAAGTATACAGACTGACAATAAACAGTTACTATTGTGTAAGTGCATTAAGTAGATACTTTTAGGAAAAACAGTATATTGTTTATTGACCGAAAAAAAATTGGAAAAAAATTAAATAATAATACATGGCAAAATAATGGAGAATATAATTTATTGTAAATCTAATCTTTTTTAAATTTATTTTTTAGTTGTAGATGGACACAATATCTTTATTTATTTTTATGTGGTGCTAAGGATGGAACCCAGTGCCTCGAATGTGTTAGACAAGCTCTCTACCCCTGAGCTGTAGCCCCAGCCCCTATAAATCTAATCTTTTTAGAGATGTTTGGGGCACTAAATTTCTAGCATTAAACAAAATAACTTGTAAGAATTATATTAAATTTTTCATAATTTACCTCCATTTAGTCCATGATACTTGCTTCTCTGCAGGGCTCGGTTGAAATTAAGTTCCTACTTAGAATTGTAAATGTGCAGCACAGGAGAATCCAGCCAATCAAGATTTACTAAACTGAGAATGGAAAACTTTAAACATTTACTCAGATTTTCAAAAATAAAATGTAACTGCATTTTTACATCAGATTTCCAATTTTGCTTTTGCCCGCCCTCTGCCCCCCATCACTGGTGCTGTGTGCCTTAACCCTGGCTTGGGCTCAGTGTCAGGATCATGTCTGACAGCCTGTCAGCCTCCATGGGAGAGCACGCATCCTCTCGTCCCCCCTGGAGAAGACCCAAGCAGTGTCATGGTTTCCAGCTTGCTGTAGACAGGAACGCTGAGCAGGATTGCAGCAGATCCCCAAGTGAGCTCCACGGTGCTCCGAGAGGAGACAGGAGCTGGTCCCCGAGGTGGGGTCCATGGCTTACCATACAGCGGGGTCTGGGGATACCCAGAAGTGAGGGGCAGGGCTGTCACCTCTCACACGTGTTCTCTCCCTCTGTCCCGCTAGTTTGTGAAGTTTGCCAACATCGAGGAGGACACCCCATCCTACCACCGGAGTTACGACTTCTTTGTGTCCCGATTCAGTGAAATGTGCCACTCCAGCCACGATGACTTGGAAATCAAGACCAAGTGAGTGTGGAGGGCCAGGGGCTGCTGGACCCCGGCAGAAGCATCCAGGGTGCTGGAGAGCTTCCAGGGGGGTCTGCTTGGCAGCTTTCTTTGCCTTTCCTTGTGCTCTGGTGTCGCTGGGAGGAAACAGCACCTGGCTGGACCGTAGGTGGGCAGGTGGGCAGCACCCAGCTTCTAACCACTTGGTTCTGAAGGAAAAACCTACTGGGCCAGCAAACAGGGCTGAATAGAAGATAACAGTCCCTTGAGCCCAATTTGAGAGAACAGAACATCCCTTCCATCGCTCCTTTGTTCAGAGCATATGCTTTTATATACTCTAGAAGCAGCCTGCCCATTGTCCAGCCGCATCTATGCCCACAACAGAGGCCCAAGCCCACTCCACTGCCTGGATACCCCATGCCCTCACTTCCCTCCAGGGACACCCTGCCCCAGGGCTGGCTCACCACTTCTGCTCTGTCCAGCCTTTGCTCGCTGTGCTCTGTGACGAAGCCTGTCCCCAGCCTGCCACACGCCTGCTCCCCTCCCCACACCCTGCTCTGGTCCCCCCACAGTGCTCATGCCCTTTTGACATGTTTCTTAATTTCTTTACTGTGTGTCTTATTTGTTGTCCGTCTCTCCCCACTGGAACATAAGCTCTAGAGGACAGGAGTCCTTTGGTTCAGTGATGCCATCCAAGTGCTATACGGTGCCCCAGAGCAGCAGACATTGCATATGTATTTGTTGAGTGGATGGCTGAGTGCGTGGATGCGGTCAGATAGACATTATATATACACACATACTGGCAATTGAACTCAGGGTCACTGTACCACTGAGCTACATCTGCAGCCCTTTCTATTTTTTGAGACAAGGACTCATTGAGTTGTTGAGGCTGGCCTCAAACTCATGATCCTCCTGCCTCAGCCTCTGGAGTTGCTGGGATTACAGGCATCTGCCACCCCAGCTCAAATTACAAAATACACGTATATGTCCATGTACTCAAATTTATAGTCTCACATAAATATATTCATTGACACAGAAGTGAAACATCTCAAATAAAATTACAAAGAAACTAAAATAAATGATGCTGACATGGGTATTTAAAGAGTAGCCTTGGGGCAGGGGCTATGGCTCAGTGGCAGAGCGCTTGCCTGGCATATGTGAGGCACTGGGTTGGATTCTCAGCACCACATAAAAATGAATAAAAGTATTATGTCCATCTACTACTAAAAACATAAATGAAGTGTGACCTATAGTCAGGCTGATGAATCAGTACATATGTGGCAGAGCAGTGAATGGGTATTTTGTGGCAAGTATAATCCTTGGAACCGTAAGTGCAGATGATAGGTCGCTATCCACAGAGCATGTTATCAGCTCCTGAAAACTGTGTGACACTGGAGGGGACAGGAGAAGCGGGGAGGGGAAGGCCAGGGCCCATAGCAACCAGAGCTGTGGAGGGCTGGGGGTGTCCGCGGCTGGGGCTGAAGGGGTCACATGGCCAGTGTGCCAGGAGGAGGCTGATTCTCAGGTGGTTCCTTTGACATGGTAGCACCTTAGAGGGGTCCCAAGTGTCACTTAAAGCCCCCTTATGACAGCTAATGGTCTGGGTTGGAAGGACAGGAACCCAGCCCCTCTAGCTGTTGGAGACAACGTGAAGAGTCCCAGGCAGGCCCCAGAATGACCACAGCGCAGCTTCTGGACCTGCTCGGTCCCAGAGTCTTCTTTGAACCAACCAGGCACGGACTCCCTGGGCTGTGCTGCCCAGTGCCTCTGAGTGAGGCAAGCAGGGGTACAGGAGGGGGAACCCCACTTCCTGAGTAGCCCTCGAACTCCCGACAGCTATGAAAAGGCAGAAGAGGCTGGGGTAGCTGGAGTGTGTCCTGAAGCAGGTGTCACTGGGCTGGGAATGTAACTTGGGGTAAGGGCACTTGCCTAGCACCTTGTGACGCTGTAGGTTTGTCCCCAATACTGCAAAAGCAAAGCAAGGCCACAGAGCAGGTGATGGGAAGGCGGAAGACAGGAACTTTGACTGTCACTGTACCCACAGACTGGAGCCTGTCACCCATGACAGGTGCTGACCACTGGAGCAGGCCAAGCTACGGGGTGAGGGAGGAAGTTCAGGGACGCTGCTCAGGCTGCTGCACTCGCGCAGGCAGGGTCAGCACTGAGCTCCACGACACGGGGAGCCTCCTGAGCATCAGAGGAAGGCCACTGGATGCTGGGCAGTGCCATTAGCACCCACAGACTGGGGCCTGTCACCCATGACAGGAAGGCCACTGGATAAGAATGGGGGGATCCTCTGGCCTCCATTGTCTTCCTTCATCTCTTTTCTGGGCCCTCCCTGTGTCCCTTTTCCTGCTCATTCTCAGTCCTGGGTGGCAGTGGCAAGGTCCTCTTGGGTGGGACAAATGAGTCCTGCACATTTTTAAGTATTGTACAAATTTTAATTTCTAAACAAGTCAGTATCAGCCTCCATAACCCACTGAACCCAAAAGCGTCTGTAGCCCTTTCTTATTATGAAAGTGGAAAAGGTTTTGGAAGCCTAAGAGGGAGTGGACCACGGGGGGTTATCCCCAGGCGTGAATGGGCCATTTCTTGCTCTGACCTCACAAGGAGCCATTGAGGGCATTTCAAACACTGAGTACAGCAGAGGCTGGCTGCGGCTGGGTTTTTGTCCCTAAGTGCAGGAAGCATTTGGTGGCCACCTGTCAGACTCTTAGATAGTTAGCGCGTTTAGTGGTTGGTGGTTGTGGTCTTTGGATGTTGGTTTTTTGATTTGGGGTTTTTATTTTGCTTGGTTCTGGGTTTTGTTATTTTTTTTTTCAGCTAGCATCCTTAGCTGAGGATATGCAGTAAGAGTAGTCAGAGCAATGTAGCTGTAGGCACCACTCCCGCAAGGAGACCACCTACACGGACCATCTTCGGGTCCTGAGGATCACCTGGCAGGGTGGTTTCGCCCTGACTGAATTAGCCTGCTGTCTCCTCCCTGGGACAGAGGTGGTGGTGAAAGTCCTATGGAGCGGAACATCCCCGTCCTATCTGAACTGGATACGATGATGGCCACGGAACACCAAAATGTGATCCAGCTTTTTCAGGGCATTGAGACCATTGAAAATATCTACATCGTCATGGAGTATGCAGGTGGGGGACAGCGACAGCACCCCATCCCAGAGCCCAGTGGCATGCAGAAAGAAAGAGGAGGCCTGGAGACTATTGGGGCAGATTGTGTCATGTGCTACGGCCACAAGAAGGGAATCACGAACCTAGACCTGAAGGCAGGGTCATCCTGGTAGATGCCAGAGGCAACATCAAACTCATCAACTTTGGCCTGAGCACCAGGTTCGTGGTGGGGCAGAAGCTGAACGAGATCTGGGGTGCTCTCCTGTACGTTGCCCCCGAAGTCATCCACTGGAATGAATATGAGGGCAGCCACCCCCACCCATGGGCATCTGGAGCTTGGATGTCATTCTATATTTTATGGTCACAGGGGGACGCCCATTTGTGGTGACCACTGCTAAGCAGCTAAAGAAGCAGATGGTGCAGTCCAGATACTACCTTCCCCCACACATTTCCGAGACACACAGAACCTCGTCAATCAAACACTAATGGTGGACTCCACACAGAGGCCCGCAGTAGAGCAGATAACGGGGCACCTGGGTGAGGAATATTCACCCAATCATTCTAGAGAGCCACTCCCCAAACACTCAGACTCCGTAATTATGAAAACCATGCTTGACATGGGTTTCGATTATGACCCCTATAATTCCTGGGTTTCCCTGGCAAATAGGAAGTAGGAAAAGGTGATAGCTATGTATCTGATACTCCAGCGCCAGATAACCCGGGGAGCCGGCTGCAAGTTCCAGATGAAGTGAGTCGGGGGATCAGGCCAGGCCCAGTGGATCTTTCCAATGTCTGCCCAAAGAAGAGTACCAGTGAACCAGCCCTTCCCACCTCCCCTTGCCCTGTGAGCACAGCTACTGGGGAAGCCGAGGGCAGAAGGGCGGTGGAAGTGCCAGCTTGCCTACCATTCATCTCTGCTTCCTGTGTGCGAGGACCCCTCCTCCCAGCAGGACCCTGTAGGTGAGTCACAGCAAAAGGCGGCACAGCCCCCCAAGGTACTTCCACAGGGCAATCCCATGACAACAGCAAGGACTGGAAAGGAGTCTCTAGGAGGACTGCCACATCCATGCAACAACTGTGGTGTCGCGTGCCATGCTTTTTGCAGGCTGGCATTCAGAAAAAGAAGTGGTTCCAATGAAAACGCAGAGCTGAGGCCGACAACACCAGTGGGCATCCAGAAGACCCTGAGCTCTGTGGATCCTGACATCATGGCACGGGTATCGCTCGGGCATGGCCTCAAACAGCTGCAGGGGCCAGGTTGTGCCAACGGGCTCGGGCTTCTCGGCACAGATTCTAGCCAGGAGCGCATTTGGATCCACCAGGAGTCTCCTCCGCCCCCTCCTGCAAGAGACATCAGACACTCCTTTCCCTGGGACACTTCCCCTGTCCTGCTCTCCTCTGTCCTTTCTCCCATGCTTCTGGGATAGCAGAAATGGTTCTTAATACATTTCTGTTTCTCACAAATTGTGTAATAAAATTGATGTTACAGCGTCTGGAGTTGTGCCTCAGCAGTAGAGCGCTTGCCTAGCATGCATGAGGCACTGGGTTCCATCCCTGGCACCACTGAAAAAATAAAAACAGATAAAATAAAGGTACTGTGTTCATCTACAACTAAAATAAATAAATAACTAAATAAAGAGAAGGGGAGACCTCAGGGCAAGAGCAGGAGCCCACTGCCATCTTTCCTCCCCAAGGCCTGGACCACTGTGCCTCCCTCTCCTGTTCATGGTAGACACTCACTTACCTTTAGCCAGTGTAGACAGGGACTCATTTTCCTTGAGCCATTGTAGAAGGAGACTCACTCCCCCTGGCCTAGTGTGGATGGAGATGCTCCCTTTGGGCCAGTGTAGACTTGATTGATTGAGCTGGTCGCTTTGGCTAGGAGTCCCTTTCCTGGTCTTCAGGCCCCTTCCTGAGTTGTGTGGACAGGGGGAGTGGCAGCTGCTAGAGAAGACACGTCTGGCAAGGCACTGAAGACCCCAAAGTGTTCTGTGGCATCCTGAGTCTGCACGTTTGGAATGGGCTTCCGCTGAGCATTCAGGAGAGCTTTTAACCTGGGGCCAAAAATAGTAAGTGGAACAGGATTTAGTTGGCTCCTTCTCAGGTTTGGACAGCCTCCGGCACAGGGTCTTAAATGGGGGAGGGGGACAGAGCGGCCAAGTGTTTCCCCAGGGAATCCTTGCCTGTGGCCAGCAGCCCTAACAGGTCCTGGGCCCAGGGATCCTGGTGCTGTTAGGCTCCTGTCATCCCACAATGACTGTCACCAGTAAGTGCCAGGGTTCCACCCTGGCAACTCCACTTAAAACTGAAGTTGAAAATACAACTGGCAACTAATCTTCTGGAGAAATGGCTCAACTCTAATAATCATCAGGTAGATGTGAATCTAGTCCCAGCCACAATCCCTTTTTTTTAATATTTTTTAATTGTAGATGGACACAATATCTTTATTTATGTGGTGCTGAGGATCGAACCCAGTGCCTCACTGGTTTGAGGCGGGCGCTGTACCACCGAGCCACGGCCCCAGCTCCCAGCTCCCAGCCACAGTTTCTTAGTACCCTGACAGCCTGCAGCTCACGGTGGAGCTCCGTGGAGTTCACTACCACCCGCCAAAGTAAAGGGTGAGAACTAAAAGAGCTACAGGATGTGAGCATTTTTCAGAGCCATAAAATGAGAACAGATGTTCAAAATGAGATCCCCGGTGCTGCCAGTGGGACAGCGAGAGGCTGCCGCTTGTGCATGGGGGCAGTACTGGGAGCCTTTCGTGTCTTGTGATTCAGAGAGCAATCAGATATTTTATACAACAATGTCCATCACAGCATGATAATAGCAAAAGAAATCGGAAATAACTAAATGCCATATGGGAGCCTACTTTTGAAAGTTCTTATGATAGTCTAACCATTCAACCTATTTATGAAGAATTAATGATATAGGAAAGTGCTTATAACCAAATGTTATATGGAAAAAAAGCCAATACTAATTAACTATGTCATCAGTTCTTAATTATGTTATAAACTATGCATGGAAGAAAGAAAAGATGCCCAAATGCTAACAATGGTGTTGTTAGGGGTGAATTTTTCTTTTTTATAATTAGTATAATTACAGCTATTTTTTTATAATTAGTATAATTACAATTATTACTTTATAATCAGGAAAAAATATTATTTAAAAAAAAGGAACTTCAGGGTGAGATAAGTGGGCAGTGAAAAACACTCCTTTCCACAGGGCCATTACAGCAGGGTCTGGGGATGTGCCAAAGGGCACCCTGCACCTGCCCCCCCTTTGTGCTTTACTGGATTTCCTGTCTGGTTTCTTGGTCAGCCTAGTCCCAGCCACAGTTTCTTGGTGCCCTGACAGCCTGCAGTTCAGTGCCTCTCCCTACAGATCCACCTCCCTGCCCTAAGTTGTTCCAGTCCTGGATTCTGCCTCATGAGTTCTCCCAAGCACTTTGAGCTCTCTATCTGGAGCAAACCCACCTGAGTACTACCCAGAGGGATCTGGGATGAAGCCCTGATGGCCGCAGGGCAAGGGCAGTCTGGGAGTCTCCAAGATAAAGCCAGAAGGCGTGGCTTCCTGCACAAGAAACCAGCCTGCAGGTCAGGTCACGTGAGGAACAGCAAGTGGTCTCCCTCTGCCTTTGGATGGAGGAGTGTCCCCTTAACCTTTGAACTGTGCTTCTCAGGGGAGGGGGACTTCAAGGTCCCATTCTACCTTTCCTTGCAGAATCCGGATGTCAGGCATCAAAGGTCTGCAAGGGGTGGTGAGGAAGACAGTGAATGATGAATTGCAGGCCAATATCTGGGACCCGCAGCACATGGACAAGATTGTCCCGTCACTGCTTTTCAATCTGCAGCATGTGGAGGAGGCAGAGAGGTAAGCTGGCCAGCCCTCCAGAGCTGCCTCCCGGGTGACTGGGGAACCCATGGTTTTGTGACTTCTACAGTGAGTCCCAACCCAGCTCCCCAGGAGCCTTGGGTCTGGCATTCTGCCAGGTGCTGTACCCCTTCACCTCTGCAATAATGAAGGAGACAGAGCAGTGGCGCTGGGCTCCCTAGGGGTAAGTGTGTGTATAAAAGGACCAAGAGTCACAAAGGACCAAGAGTCAGGTTACTCTTGTCTCTGGAAGCAGCAGGCCAAGGAGGTTTAAAATGCCTTTCATGGCTCCAATTACTGAGGACTTTCCCTTTGGACCTTCCTTCCTCTCTCACTTCCTGATGCTATTTAGGGCCTTAAATCACAACAGGTGGGGAGGGAGGGGGACGGGCTAGGGAGTGATGCCAGCCAAATTATATTGTTATATTGTGTGCATGTACAAATATGGAACCACAAATCCCATAATTATGTACACCTAGACTGCACCATTTTTTTTAAAATGCTGCCTGATCAGCCATAGCCACTCAAAAAAAAAAAAACCTTGCAGATAATTGGGTTTTAAACTTGGAGCCCATAATATGTAATTCATTCCCTTCCCTGCCCCTCATCCCCCGAACCCTGCACCCCTGATATGGAATGGGATGGAGGGAAGGTTTGTGTTGCTGCCCAACATGGCTGAGTGCATGATCCTGGAGAAACATGTGCACTTGGCTTCTCACTTTCTTGGTGGAGCCTTGGATGCTAGAGGGGAGGGAGAAGTAAGTGTTCCCTCTGGTGGTCATTTCTGGAATAGCCCCTCTCTGACAGGCTAAGGGTGGGTAGTCCTGGGGCTCCTTGATCTATCCAGATCTGAGCCTACTCCCTGAGACTTAGGTACCACTGAGTCGGAAGCCAGCTCATGCCCTTCCCTCTCTTCTTTTCCTCTTTCACTTTCTCTCTCCCTCCCTTCCCTCTCTTCTTATCTCCTCTTTTTTTCCTATTGAAGCCTTAAGTGCATGAGACCCCCATGGTCCACACCTCACTCAGCCCATGATGCTTAGAACACCCTCCCACAGCCACCTCAACTTATCCTTAAGGGTTTCCAAAACAGAACTCTATCCCATCTCCCCCAGTTTCCTTACCCCGTTTAATTTCTGACGGCTATGACATCTCCCTGTTGCCTGGTGCAGCCTGTCAAATGAATTCCTGCTCTATGCTGCTCTCACCATTTACACAAAGCCTGGCTCCCAGTTTAGCATCCCATCCATTACCCCTGTGGCTCTTGTTTCCACAGCCGGTCTCCCTCTCCCCTCCAAGCACCAGAGAAGGAAAAGGAGAACCCAGCAGAACTGGCTGAGCGGTGCCTGCGGGAGCTGCTGGGCCGGGCTGCCTTTGGCAATATCAAAAATGCCATCAAGCCTGTTCTCATGTGAGTTGAGTGTTCCGCCCACCCCAACCTGCAGCCTTGGAATGTTCCAGGACCCAGCACCTCCCCACTGACACAGGGAGGAGGGAAGAAGAGAGCACAGTTGTGGTGCCTCGGCCACGTCAGTTCCTTTTTTTGCCTGTGATCCCTGCATTATAACAACAGGTGCAGTTTGGGGTGAGGTGTTGGTAGGAGGGCACCCCAAACTGAATGAAGGTGCCCAGCTTCATTCCATGTGTCCAGTTGCAGAGCCCTGTCCTGGACTTCCCTCTAGCTCTGGGGCTAGAACTGCCCCAAGGTCCTCCATGATCCCTGCTCTCAGGGCCTGCGGGGCCAAACCGTGCACACCGTGGACAAATTCCATTTTCCTGTAAGCCCAGCCTCACTTACCTGGGAACTGCAAGGTGCTCTCAGGAGGTGTCACTGTCCCTCCAAGCTTGCCTCTCCTTCCTAACATCACTTTGAGTTTCCCAGTCATTCCCCCATGCTTTCTCCCTCACAGCCATCTGGATAACCATTCTCTTTGGGAACCCAAGGTGTTCGCCATCCGTTGCTTTAAAATCATCATGTACTCAATTCAGGTACGGTGGCTCCCCGGGTCCAGCTTGTCCCCCTGGCCCAGGGCAGCTCTGGGAGCAGAACAGTGGAAAGCCAGATGCCTTCTGACTTCTCCTAAGGCCATACTTGTCTAAGTCAGTGCTGCTTCAGCTAGCTGTGGAGAAGGGCCAGTTGAGTTTTATTTCTAGAAGAGCATAGTCCAAAACTTTTATAAAACACAAAAGAAAAAGCTGATACATTCCTGTAATCTCAGTGACTCAGGAGGCTGAGGCAGGAAGATCCCAAATTCAAGGCCAGCCTGGGGAACTTAGCCACCTGTCTCAAAATAAAAAGTAAAAAGGGCTGGGGATGTAGCTCAGTGGTAGAGCGCCCTGGATCCAATCCTAGTGCTGCAAAAAAGAAAAGAAAAATTCCTAGAAAAAATGAAAATCTCACCCCAAATGGGAGCCCACAGACCACACTGTTGGCCGTTGTGGCCACTCCACACTTCCTGTCCATTTCTGTACTTAGCTCGTACATGCAATTAAACAGATCTTGAGTTGGCACTGGTCCGAGGTCCACACTTAGAGCAGCACTGTGCCCTCTCGTGGCCCTAATAAGACCTGGGGACAGGTTAGAATGAAAACGAAGACAGTATTTTAAAATGGACTTTTGGCCTGTTTTAAGTAGGAAAAACGGGGGAAAGCAGGTTTTCACTAGGATTTGGCTCTGTCTTGCTGGCTCAGGATGGGAGGGCTACAAGAAAGGGAACGTAATATCGTTGCCACCTGCGGTGTCCATCGGCCTTGGGACGTCACTCTAGCTTCACTTTAGTTTACCCCAGCCTCCGGGGCACAGGAGAGGGTTGCCCGGGTCACCCAGGGCTGCTGTCTGGGGACCAGCACGTCTTCCTCCCCCCAGCCGCAGCACTCGCACCTGGTTATCCAGCAGCTCCTGAGCCACCTGGACGCCAACAGCCGCAGCGCGGCGACCGTGCGCGCGGGCATCGTGGAGGTCCTGTCGGAAGCTGCGGTTATCGCAGCCACCGGCTCAGTCGGTAAGGAGCCCTGAGAGACGGAGCGAGGGCGGGGGCCCCTGGGGACAAGATCTGCCCTTGTGGGAAACGGCCAGGGGCAGGAGGGAGGTGTCGGGACGGTTCTCGGTAGAAGTCGGCCGGAAGGTGGTGGGCAGCGCAGGGCGAGGGCGCCAGTGGCGACTTCGGGTGTCCCCCCCGCACTCAGGGCCCACGGTGCTGGAGATGTTCAACACTCTGCTGCGGCAGCTGCGGCTCAGCATCGACTACGCGCTGACCGGGAGCTACGACGGGGCCCTGAGCCTGGGCACCAAGATCATCAAGGAACACGAGGAGCGCATGTTCCAGGAAGCGGTTATTAAGACCATCGGTGCGGAGGGGGCGGGGCCGGGCGGGGCGGGGCCGCGAGCTGGCCGCTAGCGGGCGGGGCGAGACCGCCGGGCCGCGCGAGGGTGGGTGTCGGTTGTAGGACTGTGAAACGTCCGTGTCTTGCTATTCACGCACAGTAGGGGAAATGGAACCAGTCCCTGGTGTGCACGGTCCGGCCCGCGCAGGCCCTGAAAACACAAATCAATCCCCTGGGTTTCCCAGCCTGGACTCCACCCTAGACCCGCCTGATGCTTCCAGTTGGGGGGGACCCGAGGGGAGGGGGGACTAAGGAAGAGAAAAGGGAGAAAAGAGGGAGGGAGGTGGAGGTTGCCATGGAGAAAATGCATGTGCATCTGGATGTGGAGAATGGGAAAGCCAGTGTGTGAGGGCCCATCAACCTGAAGCCTTCCTGTCCTGGCACCATTTGAGTTTTCCATCAGCTTTGAGGAGGAGGCAGGGCAGGAGTCATGGAGCCCTGGCTGTGGGTGGAGGCGTGACTTGCCCAGGGTGCCCCGCAGGAAAACCTGGGGCTCCTGCCCTGGTCCCTGCCCCAGGGTTCTCCAGTCCCTAGAAAAGAAGCCAAGACCTTAACCTCAATCCCAGTAATAAGTGATGGAACCAGAACCCAGAAGAGCCCTCTGGAGTCCTCTAAGTGCCTCCTCTTCCAGGAGAGGCAGCATCACACCCAGGCCATCCTGAGCAGTTTCTCTCTCTGGGTCTGAATTGTCCCTGGAGCGCAGCCGTCAGTCTCCACAGTGGCTCCTTCAGCAGAAAGGCTGAAGCAAGAGTGGCCCAGCAGCTGTTGGCCTCCCCTGGGCCAACCACTCTCCACCATTTTCCCCCACAGGCTCCTTTGCCAGCACATTGCCCACTTACCAGCGCTCCGAGGTGATCCTCTTCATCATGAGCAAGGTCCCTCTGCCTTCCCTGCATCATGCCATAGAGACAGGGAGGACCGGGTGAGTCCTCCACCCTCTCCCAACCTAGACTCCGCCCAGTTTTCCCTCCCCTGTTTTCTGGCTGTCTACTCCATCCATTTTAGCTTTGCCCACTCTGCCCTCTCTTCTTTTTATTCCCCAATCCCTCAGCAGCCTTTAGGGAGGCCCTTGAACACCACAGCAGTTCTCAGGCTGGCCCACATCCCCACCCCTTGCCGTATGGGGAGCCATTCATTCCCTGGTCTGCTTCCTGGGGCTGGCAGGGTGACGATCCTGGGTAACCCAACAAGATAAGCCACATGGAGAAACTCAGCAGAGGGAGAACTGAGCAGGCAAGTTGGGGGTCTCCACCCATATCACCATCCTGCTGAGTGTGTCTCTGATCCACAGGGAGAACAGGAATCGGCTGACCCAGATTATGCTGCTGAAGTCCCTCCTGCAGGTAAGTTTCTCCCATCCCTGTTCCTGCCCTGCCTGTACAGGGCACAACTCCTTCCAGGACCAAAAGTAAGGCCACTGCATACAGTCATGCAGGTTGCATACTGCACAAATGTGCCCAGCCAAAAGGGTGAGTGAGGGGCTGGAATTCAGCTTGACACCATCTTTCCCTCCTTGGGGTTTCACATGCCTCTTCTTTGCATCTCTGTGGCCGTCGCTGGAGTCAGACCACCATTTGTAGGTTCCCTAGAGGTGGTGACAGTGATGAGGTCCTGAACTCTGTGACAGGCTCCCCAGGTGCTCTGGTGCCTGCTCCGTCCGGCCTCAACTCTGGACATCTCACAACTACATTATTCTCCCAGTTGCTCTCACCGCCATCTCTTTTCCACTATCATAAACACAGTCACAAGAAGAACTGTATAGGGGCTGGGGTTATGGCTCAGTGGTAGAGTGTTTGCCTCACATGTGTGAAGCACTGGGTTCGAGTCTCAGCACCACATATAAATAAATGAATAAAATAAAGGCCCAACAAAAACTAAAAAATTAAAAGAAGAAGAAGAACCTTATAGAAATGCTGTTCCCCATGCACTGCCCTATATTTCGAGTAGGTCTCAGTTTCTGAGGCGTGAACACCCAGTTTTCAGACTTCTCCGAAGGAGGTTGGAAGGTCCCTAGTGCCCTTTCACTCCCCGACTCTCCATCTCACCATTCGGTCCCTCTCTCTGTTCCTGGAACATGACAGTCTGGACAGATTCCCCCTCACTCCCACTGAAGCCTCCCCTTCCCTCTTTTCCATCCCTCACCCTTCTTATCACTGCATTTATCATCATCATCATCATCATCACCATCATCATCATCATCATCATCATCATCATCACCATCATCATCATCATCACTCTATTTTGCTCTGACACTGCCCATGTCTGATCATTAGTTATCTCCTTGGTCTTCATATTCCCACCATATCTTTGCTGGGTTTACCCTCATTAATTTGTACCCAGCATTTGTTAAGGTGACAGGTTGGGGCACACTCACATACATCCTCTTCAGTGGGCATTGATGTTCACTAATGATACTACCAAGTTGGGCTAGATTCTTGGAGGCTTTCTGAATTATCAAAGGCATTGCTTTGCAATATGGGCTTAACAGTAAATGTGCTTTGGTGCTGTTGAATGCTTTGACATCATATATGATGTAACTGTTTATGCCAAGTGACTCTGATCAGAAGGCCCTCCTTATCATCCCGCTACAAGAGATGTAACCAGATAAGCTCTGAGAGTGCTCTGTGGTTGTTGCTGTGTGTGAATTCTGATTCTTTGACCCAGCTGCAAGTTCTTCCACTGGCTAGTTCCTGAGACTGTCCAGACTCTTTTTTTTCCCCCTGCAGTACTGGGAATTGAACCCAGGGTTCTTACCACTGAGCTACATCCCCAACCTTTTTATTTTTTATATTTGAGTCTTACTAACTTGCTGAGGCTGGCCTCAAACTTGAGATCCTCCTGCCTTAGCCTCCCGAGTTGCTGGGATTGCAGGCATGTGCCACCATACCTAGACTCTGTGCTCTTAATGAAGCATTGTGTTCACGGTGGGTGCTGCTCAGATGTGCCCTGACTGGCTGGAATATTATGTTCAAAGATTTCCTGCTCTTGCTTCTTTCTGGTGCTCATCCTTTGCTTGCTTTAATACCTAATCTTCCTCACCCTGTCTACATCCACCCACACATCTGCTGAGCTGGGCCAAGTAGGTTATCTAGGTGGATGTTGGAGTATTCAAAAAAGTTGCCTGTGGCTTCCAACCACAGTGGAGCACAAGTATAATCTCAGTTACTCGGGAAAATGGGGGAGGAGGTCCACAAGTTCAGCCAGCCTGAGGAAGTTAGAGCCTATCTTGAAATAAAAAATAAAAGGTATGGGGATGTGGTTAAGTGGTAGATCATCCCTGGGTTCAGTCCCCAGTACTGGAAAAAAAGTTTTCCTGTGGTGCCCAAGGATTGGGAGGGAAGGAGGGAAGGGAAGCTGGCTTGGGGAATGTCTTGAGAGGATGACACGTTAGGCTCATTCATCTCCTCACTGCACCTGAGAGAGACAGTGTTCCTAAGCAGATCTATCCTGGGCTGCCTTGCAGGTATCCACAGGTTTCCAGTGCAACAACATGATGTCAGCTCTGCCCAGCAACTTCCTCGACCGCCTTCTCTCCACCGCCCTCATGGAGGATGCAGAAATTCGTCTCTTCGTTCTAGAGATTCTCATCAGTTTCATTGATCGTCATGGCAATCGCCACAAGTTCTCTACCATCAGGTGAACTTGGGAGTCTCTCCTGAGTTGATGTGTGTTGGGGTCTGTCTTCTTGGTCAGCAGCCTCACATGCTGGTGGGACCCACCAGGGAGCAGATCACGGATGTTGACCCTTGGGTCCTTGAGGGGAGAAAAGACCAAAAGATACTTGCGCCTGGGAGTAGTGGGAGAGGGGAGCTGAGACCTGGGAGATAAAGAGAAGGTACTAAAGAGTTTTAGGTGGAGGGAAGAGGATGTGGGTTATCAGTAGAAACTGGAAGAATTTGGGGGGAATAGGGGAAGAAGAGATAATCAGGATCAAAGAATCAAGAGAAAAGAACAGGAACTTGAGACCTTGGGAGAAAATTGAGATTGGGGTAAAAGTCAGGGCCAGAGGAGCATCGGAAATCTCCACAGCTCTGGGGTAAAGCCCAGTGACACTGTGTGAGCTCTGGTGAGCCTCACACGAGGACTAAGGGGCCCCTTCTACCCCCTCCCAGTACCCTCAGTGACATCTCAGTCCTGAAGCTGAAAGTGGACAAATGCTCCCGACAGGACACTGTCTTCATGAAGAAGGTAAGCGAGTGGACCTGTGGACCCAGCCTTCCAGCCCCTGAGTCACGCTGACCACTGCCCCTGCCAGCTTACCTCCCTCTGCACATCTGCCTGGTCACATTACCCAGCTGCCTCCCTGGGGAGGCCAAGCCCACAGTGTTACTCCCTGCCAAGGCCAGGGCCAGCATCCCCCCACTGAGCCAGTCCAGGGCCATTGCCATGTTCTGCTCCTGAAACTGGGTTTGCAGCTTCGGTTGCCAGTGTCCCTGGGGTCCATCATCCCCCAAACATGTTCTCTCCCGTGTGTTCACTTCACGGGCCACTGAGGTCTGCTTTAAAAGACTCCCTCCCTGAGGGTGGAAGTGGGGCACATGCAGCCATCTCGCTCCTTCACATTGGTCTTCATTCCCCTTCTCCTTGTCTCTCCTGTCCCCACCCCATGCACTGTGGCTGTCCTCCGCCCACACTCCTGTCCCCAGCATTCCCAGCAGCTCTATAGGCACATCTACCTGAGCTGTAAGGAGGAGACGAACATCCAGAAGCACTACGAGGCCCTCTATGGCCTGCTGGCGCTCATCAGCATCGAGCTGGCCAACGAGGAAGTGGTGGTGGACCTCATCCGCTTGGTGCTGGCTGTTCAGGTGGGGCTTAGTGTGGGCAGGACATACCGGTTAGGAATTGTAGGGAGGGGCCCTGATCTGGCCAAGGACTGATAAGAAAACTGAGAAGCAGTTGCTCAACAATCGTTTTGAAGCCTGAGAATTTTGAACTCTTCGTTGGCCGTAATTCCATGAAGACCCCAAACCGTGGTCTTGTCTGGAGAACCCTCGAGATTGCGTAATTTATGACATTGGTTCATCCTCAAGTTAAGGGAGACCTAAAGAACAGGGTCATTGAAAAACACCCTGTATCCCTGAGTATTTCAAGTCCCTCTCAGAGTCTGAGTGAGAATCCAAGGATTTCCAAGAGGATATTCATAAGCCCTGAGTGATCCTGAAACAAATTTGTTTAGGCAAACTTAATTGTTTAAAGATCCTCCAGTTCTCAAACTTAGATATTCTTCCAAATTGCCTTGAGTGCTTGTTAAAAATACATATTACCTGCTAAATCAGTTTCCTGAGCCTGAAGACCTGTATAGTTAACAAACTTCCTTTGCAATTTATAGCCAGTGTGGTCCTGGGCAGGACCTGAGACTTTCAGGGTCTCTCTGGGTGGAAGTATGCTCCTGAGGGTGTCAGAGTGGACCCTTCAGACCTCAAAGGCTGGAGTCTCCAGGTCCTGAAGCCAGATGGGCATCAGCAAGTGTCACAGCGAGTCTGGGAGTTCAGTGATGGGGAGCCTTAGGTTACCAGCGTGGCAGTGCTAAATCCTGCAGGGCTAACCTGCAAGTGGGAAATGCTAAATATTTCTTAATTCTTTTTTATGCTCAAGAAGCAGAATTAGAATTCCTTTGTATCCCAACCCCTTGGTGACTCCCACAGCTTTCTCAATTTAACATGTGAACCCAGTTTAGCAAGCCAATTTCTTTCTCTAAGAATCAATTGTAGCGAAGGAGATGGCATCCGTACGGTGGAATTGAAGTTTGGAGTAAAGGGCACTACAGCTGTCACCACAGAGTGGGGAGTGGAGGTCATTGCCACCATACTCAGTATTTAAGATCCTCCAGTTCATGGATTGTTCTAGAAACCATCCCCTTCCACTTTAATGAGGGTGACTCTTGTCTACCTGGAAAGTTATGGAGAAAATGCTAAGAAAGACTCAGTCTAGAAAAGAGCCCTCTCTAAAGACTGGGGAGAGGTTGGATGGAGGGTGCAGACTGCAGAATAGTTTCTCAGATAAAAACTCCAGAGGCCCATCTATGTTACCCCAGGATGTGGCCCAGGTCAATGAAGAGAACTTGCCTGTGTACAACCGCTGTGCGCTCTACGCTCTGGGGGCAGCCTACCTGAACCTCATCAGCCAGCTGACAACGGTACCTGCCTTCTGCCAGCACATCCACGAGGTCAGTGTCCTCATGATGCTGAGAGCTCAGGAGGCCCTCAGCTTGGGGCTTCCCAGGAACAGCTCTTACTTAATTGGCCTTAGGCATTGAAGAAAGAGTTGAAGGAAGAATTAATGACAGTGAGAAGGGACATGAGGTGGCATTTCCTCCTGCCTGATGACACAGCAGATGGGGTCCAGCACAGGGATTGCCCTATACCTGCTTCCTGTTCTCTGTCCTCTCCCAACTCACGGGAGCACACACTCCTGGGATCATATGGACGAAAGCTGCTTTTTTATTTTTTTTCCTACCTTGAAAATTCTCAAATACCAAAAGCAGGGTGAGAACAGTCAACATCCATTAGAAATCATGCAGAGTAAATACTTCAGAAGACTTTCCCACTTTCACTTCAGCTGTTTCCTTTTCTTTATCTTTTCTGAAATGTTTTAAAACAAATCCCAGCTCTCTGTCCTTGCAATTTACGTACATCAGTCTGCATGGCTTAAAAAAAAAACACACACAATATGGGCATCTCCCCTGTGACTGTCATGCTAGGCACATATCTAAGTTTTCAAAAACAAACAAACAAAAAAATCCATTGAGACTATCTAATATACAGACTATAGTCAAATGCTCTCTGTTGTTACATAAAGATCTTTTAAAATATGCTAGAATATTTATGGGTAGAATGATTTGATGTCCAAATTAACTTTAAAAGGAACTAGCAAAAGGAAAGTAAGCAGAATTCCAGGCCTCAGCTGTCCTGGGAACATGGAGAAGAGTGCCATGGCACTGTATCAAAGACTACCCCAAAGCAGTTGGACCCTCCCAGCCTCTGGGCTGATAAGAGAAGGGCAACAGCCAGGCATCTCTCCACTGGAATTCATGGGATCATTGCCAGCTCACCTGTACACACCTGCATACCCTCCCTCCCCCAACTACTCATCATCTTAGTCATTTTTACCTTTCTTACCAAAAATTTGCAAAAGATGCTGAGGAAAACTCACGCTATCACTGTCCATCGGGATGTGTTTGCAATCCCCAGCTTTGGGACATGGTGCAACCTATATCCCCCTGTTATGTGTCTTAGTAGCTAGCACAGGAACAGGACCCAGGAGCAAGACACTGCAGTTCCTCAGCGGTGCCCTGCACCTGAGGGCACTTGATGTCCATGTGTTGTTGATGGCGATAGTTTTTTAGCAGGCGCCTTGTGCTTCATAGGCTGCTCTGAGAGTTGCTGGGGATCCTGGTTTCTCTTGAGAAGCCCCTATGTGTACCCTGCAACGAGGTGGTGGGAAGGAGTCAATGCTGACAGCGAGGTGGCTGCTCCTTCTGTTGTCTGTTCTGAGCTCCTCTGCCCTCCTGGACCCAGCTCTCATCATCTGATTCCTCTCAAATTCCAGGTGATAGAGACTAGGAAGAAGGAAGCTCCATACATGCTCCCTGAGGATGTGTTTGTGGAGAGGCCCAGGTGAGGAGCACCCCTGGGACATGGTCGAGGATTCCCCGGGCAGCTGAGTAGGGAGGTGGGCAGCCTGAGGTCAAAAGAGGCTGCATACCAGGAGGCTTGGGCTTCTGTGGAATCCAGGGCAGAAAGTGGAGCCTGCCCATGACCCAGAAATCCTGGGCGGATGGACACTATCATGATACAGTGGTCCATACCCCAAGCAGGCGATGATGGCAGGCTGCTGTGTTGTGCTGTAAAGGACATGATGTGACCTCTGGGAACTTTGGCCAAATCTACAGGAAATATGTCCTGTAGGAGTCATGCCTGACAGCACACTGCTATCCATCCAAGTGACATTCAGAGACCACATTCAGACTGTGCTGTGGGTCAGCATGGTTTCAGCATCAGACAAATTCAAAGGAAAGATACTTAGAAAAAAAAAAAGTGTCCAATAAGAGGGCATAGCTTTACAAACTACAGCCCATCCCTGCAATGAACATCTGGCAAATAATATCTATGATGTTTTTGAAGAATATTTCATGTGAAAAATTCACTACATAATAGGTGAATAAAACATTTCAGAGCTAGCGTTGTGGCTCCGTGGTAGAGCACTTGACTCACACATGTGAGGCACTGGGTTTGGCACTCAGCACCACATAATATAGATAAAATAAGGGTATCGTGTCCATCTATAGCTAAAAAAAAAAAAAGTGAAAAAAATTTCAGAACAATGTGTTGGAGAAGGAGACGTTCATGTGTGGGCATAAATCTATGTAACTGAAGGATCCTACACAAATATAAATAGTAGTTCTCTCTGGAAATGGGACTGTGGGTGATTTTCTCTTTTGCTTCTCTATCATTTTGCATAACAAATCATTACTTTCAATATAAGGAATTCGTTGGGGAGAAACCTTAGTTATACCTTGCCTCTCCCCTCCTTCGTCACCCAGGCTGTCTCAAAATCTTGATGGCGTGGTCATCGAGTTCCTCTTCCGCCAGAGCAAGATCAGTGAAGTCCTGGGGGGCAGTGGCTATAATTCAGACAGGCTTTGCCTACCCTACATCCCTCAGCTAACAGGTACGAGCTCCATGCAATGACTCTCAAGCTTGCCTCTGCTTTTTCTTGGCTATGTAAAGGCCCAGAAAGGGACTTGTGGGCTCTTTGATTACCTTCTGTGACATCTTAAATGTTGCGCAAGAGTCCAAAGACACAACAGAATTTATGGTGACATCTTGATTTCCCTGCATCTCCTCCTCAGTACTCACATCCACAGGCCCGTGTATTAGCCTGACATTGACCTATTTGAGATTTCCATGCAACTTACTGCCTGAAGAATCTTAGACGAGTCTCTAAAACATCGCTGAGTTTCAGTTTCCCTGACTGTGAAATACCTCATAGATGATCAGCGGGAGAGATCTGGGAGATGGTGATGGCAGATGCACTTAGTAAACTGTACAGATGACGGCTGCAGGTGCTTTTAGCAGCTGGTGCTTATGCAAGCTGGATGTGCCTTCCAGTCAAAGCGGCTTCTTTGTTTTCATCAGTGCTTACAAAATCTTAACCCAGTGCAGCAAACAGACCACCCCAAGATAGGTGGGGAGGCTCTCAGCAATAGGAAGCTTCTGTAAGCTCCACATGTAGCTTAAGTGTGAGCTGCAGAGGACTGTGGACCAAGCAGAGGCTGAGGGAGAAGGGACCAGCGTCTCAAACCTGGCTCTCCAAGGGCTGGTAACTCCAGCTTTGCGGCTTCTCTTTTGCAGATGAAGATCGCTTATCCAAGAGAAAGAGCATTGGAGAGACCATTTCCCTGCAGGTGGAAGTAGAATCAAGGAACAGTCCAGAGAAGGAGGAGGTGAGTGTCCTTGTCACTGTCCTCGTGAAGCTTCTGGACACCGGATACACCAGCCCCCACACGGCCCAAAGCACTGAAGCTTAAGTAGAAATTAGTTTCTCGGTAAAGCCATTTTCTTACCAACTCTCACTGTATAAAATTGATATTTCCATCTGAAAAACTTATCAGTGTTCCCTCCCAACACACACTCCCATGGGACTGTTTCAAAAAGCACTCTGGTTCCATTCCCTACTCATACTAGGAGCATTATGTGCTCTGGGTTTCAAGTCAGAGCTCAGCAGAAAAGATGAGGGTGAAAATAGCTTTCATAGTGTGTCTTCCAGACATATTGGCATATTTTTTATTAAGACTTATTTTTAAAGCAGTTTTAAGTTAAAAGCAAATGTGAAAAGAGGATCCAGAGATATCCCATATACTTATAGCTTTCTGGGCTAAAACATTTATTCTTTCTAAGATTATTAAAAAGGCTCCCAACACTACCATAGTACTTAAATTTGATGATTTTTTTCTCAAGAGGGACTCTCTAGATCAAATTATAATTTCAATTATAATTTCATCTAGAAACAAGTTTTAGCCCAATTCCACATGAAAGAAAGCAATTTTCAAAACTCAACTCCTTCAGAAAATTTTAAGCTTTCTACAAATACATAACCTTCCAACATCCACACCAGAGTGACACCTGCCTGACAGTTGATTATCCTACACTGCCACATTGTCACCAGCCACAGTTCATGGTTTACATTAGGGTTCCCTCTAGGTGGTGTCCGTTCTGTGGCTTTGCCATGTCCCTACTGTTACAGTACCCTGCAGGCACTGATATCCTATTAGTACTGCAGGTTCTAATCCCCAAAGGTCAGGCTCCCTCTAACCATGCCCTCAACTACCGAGCAGACCTCCAGTTCGGGGCTTTCAAAACTTGTCAGGAACCTTCCCAGGGAAGGCTGGAAGCTCTGAATTGGGCTAATTGGACCACAAAAGTGAGGATGTGGAATGGGGGTGGGGGGTGGGATGGGTTCTCTGAGCCCTTCCTGCTGTAAAAGACTGGGAACCTCTAGAGTGTCAGGCCTCAGGGTTTGGTTGGCTGCTGTCTCCCACTGTGGAAATGATTCTCCCTTTCCAAGAGTCCCTCAGGAACTGATGAGTTAAGTGGAGCAGGAGGAGGAGAAATGGTTACCTGGCTACATAGCCACCTACTATCAGTTGCCTCTGGAAGGGGTGGCTGATGAATCTGTGCTGGCTGGTTTGGTCCAATTCCAATACTGGTGCTTGGCGTTCGGAGACATTTACAATCTGGGCTGGCACTACCATATCATATTACCCCACCCACTTGTCCCCAGCATACCTGCACCATCCCAGCCTGGTAGGACTGCCCTCAGCCTCCCCCATGCTGCCTCTGTGAGTTTGCTAGTGTTGGAGTCCATGTGAGACTCACCCTTCTTCTCCACGTGTGTGTGCCTTCATGCCTGTGAACTACCTGTTCTTCAATGCCCAGCTCCAGTTCCATTTCTTCCATTCACTTCTCTCTACCTGCTCTTGCCCAGTGAGTTTCTTTTTCTCTGACTGTCATCACCACAGTTCCCTAGCATGGGAGTATCTTACGTTGGATAGTTGCACACCATGCATAGATGGATATGCAGAGGATGGATTCTCAGATGAATTACAGCTCAGCATAGCACTCTCGTGCATGTAATTCCAATGCTGGAAATTTTTCTGATTTCTATTGAATGACCCACTTAGAACCCTGCGTGTAATTAGTACTCATTTAACATTTGTTGAGCCAGGTATGGTGGCGCACACCTGTAATCCCAGCAGCTCGGGAGGCTGAGGCAGGAGGATTACGAATTCAAAGCCAGTCTCAGCAAAAGCAAGGCACTAACAATTCAGTGAGACCCTGTCTCTAAATAAAATACAAAATAGGTGAGATGAGATGTGGCTCAGTGGTTGACTGCCCCTGAGTTCAATCCCTGGTACCCCCAAAAAAGTTGTTGAATGACTTTGTCCCTTATCCACACTTATATTCTTTCCACTCCATCATTTACTGGATGCCAAATAAATTTTTTAAATATATGCAGCTCAAAAAAGAAAAATGCACCCATGTCATCATACTCAGATCAGGGAATAGAACAGTTATCGCCCAGGGGCCCTACCCCCTCTCTTGGCCACCCCTCTCCCTAAAGGGAGCCACTAGCCTGACTTGGTCACTCCTTGAACTTCGTGTCAATGATATCATCTTCTTCTGTGTCTGCTTTTCAAATACTTGTGTTTAAGTGATGGAACATGAGTAAGTCCCAGGTCTTGCCCCAAGGAGCTCATAGTCTGGTGGGGATTTCTGGAACTTTGTCCAAGCTCCTTCACTGTTTTCTGCATCTGACCTCAGGCCACACATCCTTGGTGTTCCCTTCTTTGGGTTTTAGTTTTTCCCACCTCCTTTCATAGACTCTACAGAGTGCTCAAGTCCTGCGACCCATGTCCTTGGACCAACCTCTGCAGTGAAGGGCCCACCAATATTAATAACTCTGCCCACCTTGGTAGATAATTTAATATCATTAAATCTTCAAAAATGTCATTCAGTATTTAAAATTGACATTCAAGATCATACTTGCCAACTGCCCCTTCTTTCTTCCAGTAATTTCTGTTATTATCTCAAGATTTTGTTTTTAAATTACATGGTATTTTCCTCTTCCAGGACTTGATGGGACAGGCTGGAGTGAGAGGCCGGGGACAGGGGTTTTTTAGATAAGACTTGGGACTCACCCCTAAGTTTGAATCTGATGAGGAATTCCTTTCTTCACCCCCACCTCTCTCACTGTCCTCCATGCCTGCTCCGGGAGCTTCAGAGACCCTGGAGGATGGGGGATCCCTTTGGACATTCTTCTAAGAAGCAAAGGGGTGCCAGATAGCTGAGAGGCCAGGGCTGCCTTTTTCTATCCACCTCTCTGAGCATCTCTGTCCCCTCTCCTTCAGCGAGTGCCTGCCGAGGAGATCACCTATGAGACGCTGAAGAAGGCCATTGGTAAGTTAGGGGCCCCAGTGACTGGTTAGAGGGGAGGGCAGGGCTGCCCTCTCCGCTCTGACTCAGCCCTGCCCTGGCGGCTGAGGCTGCAGGCCCACTCCCCAGCAGTCAGAGAGCAGCGCTCAAGCAGCAGTCACAGCCTGCGCCTCCGCCCCAAGTCCACACCCTATCCATCTCCCCAAGCCCTTCCGCTTCCTCATCAGTGAGGAGGACCTGGGCACTAACCCTGCTGTCGTTGCAGTGGACAGTGTAGCGGTGGAGGAACAGGAGCGTGAGCGGCGGCGACAGGTGGTGGAGAAATTCCAGAAGGCACCCTTCGAGGAGATTGCAGCCCACTGCGGGGCCCGGGTAAGCGGGGCGCCACAGGGATGATGCCTCGTGAGCTAGGAGTCAAGGCCCAGGTTTTGCACAAATGTGAGTTGAGAAAGGAGCTGACGCCCACTGCGAATCTCCTGGCCCCATGCCCAGCAGTCCCTGCCACCCCACGTTCAGGGGCAATGACCTTGAACTCAAGAACTGCCTGCCCAAAGCCTCCCTGCTACTCCTGGATATCTGTCCTGCCCCTAGCCAGCCTTTGACAGTGGCTCTTCCCAGTCTGAATCTACAGTCAGGGCCCCACAGGCATCCCACACCTGAATGTCCTCCTTAGGCTGCGCGTCCCAGCATCTCCAGGACATCCTCTAGACAGGTGGGCTGTGAGTCAACTGGTAGGGGCCTGGGAGCCCCCAGCTCACTCCGCTCTGTTTGTGTCTAGGCATCGCTGCTGCAGAGCAAGCTCAACCAGATCTTTGAAATCACCATTCGGTAAGTGGCAGTCCTGGTCAGGGGACCCCTACCTGTGCCCTCAGCATCAAGGCTCTCATCCTGCATCCTCCTCTGCACACTTGCCTTCAGTCCTTCCACGAACCACAACTCTGTTCCCAGGGCTGGAGTCAGCCACCAACTCTCCCTAGACAAGGAGACCGAGATCAGAGAGGGGAAAGAGGCTGGCTGGGCGAGGCCTAGTGTCCCAGGCTGGTATTTAATTTAAAGCAGCGGTATCGGGCTGGGGATGTGGCTCAAGGGCTGGGGATGTGGCTCAAGCGGTAGCACGCTCGCCTGGCATGCGTGCGGCCCGGGTTCGATCCTCAGTACCACATACAAACAAAGATGTTGTGTCCGCCGAGAACTAAAAAATAAATATTAAAAAAAAATTACTGCTGCCTCTGTGATGTTAAAAGTATTACAGATAAATTTAAAAAATAAAAATAAAAATAAAGCAGCGGTATCACTGTAGACTCTTCCAAGGACCTGCCTAAGCTCTAGATTCTGGAACAACTTGGAAACCTGGGACCCCAGGGAGTGACGAGCTCTCTGGTTCCTGTGCAAAAGGAAACCCAAATCAGTTGCTGTGTTTTCTTGCCCAGGGGTGGGACTGCAGAATTCCCACCTCATGGCTCTCTCCTCCCTGTGTCCCCTCAGGCCCCCTCCGAGCCCATCAGGAACCATCACCGCAGCCTACGGCCAGCCACAAAACCATTCCATCCCCGTCTATGAGATGAAGTTCCCCGATCTGTGCGTATACTGAATTCCAAGACATGGAGCCCCTCCGAGGAACAGGGCCTGAGGGAGGGGCTCACCTTCATACCCACCCCTACCTTGTGGAAATGTAGCTGGGATCTCTGAAAAACAGTCACCTTGGATGGCGACCAGCTAAGCAAAGGTGGCGCCTCTGGGCCTTCCCTGCCCTTCATGGCCCTCCTGCCTCTGCCTTGTCTTCCCTGAGGGAGATCCAGCCACCTGCCCCTCTGGGGCCAATAAGCATTTCACCTGCACCTTTTGTCTTCTCTTTTGTGTTGGCCAGGGACAGAGAATCATGGGGGCATCTGCAGAGAGAAGCTGAGAGGTCTGGGAAGGTCCCGCTTGGTGTGTGGGGTGAAGGGCTTCTATGGGGGCTGTGTCTGTGGGAGCACATCTCATCTCCTGAGGAGAGAAGTAGAAGGGGACTTGGTTGGTCCAAGGAAGCCAACCATAATTGTCACTTGGAGGAACCAAAGAATGCTCCCCTTGTAGAGAAGTGACCGTGTCAGAGGTGGGAGATGGTAGCAGTTACCCCAAGCAGCCTTCTTCCTCCTGTACTCAAGTCTTGAGCGTCTTCCACGGTCTTGTCCACCCTTCAGCTGTCTGTTTCTTTCTACTATTAATGAATTCCAAGTCCTTCTAGGGTGGAGATACCCTGGGGGACAGCAAAGGTAGAGGGAAGGGCGGGCGGGGCTGGTGATAGAGGGCTGGTTCTCCCAGACTGGGCAGCGGGCTGCTGCAAGGACCTGCCTCCTGTCTTGGACAGGACAAGCAGGGCAAGTCCTATCCTGTGTAGCATGGTCTCACCTCCTCCTTTTCTTCAGAGAGGGCTTTTGGTGTCCCTCTGTGGTTCTGTCTTCTGGATGTTTCTCTGAATTAGTCATGTTCTCTCTTTGATGTCTTTTTCCAAGGAACTCAAGACATTTCCAAGCCTCTGGGTTGAGGGAAGGTAGAACAAGATAATCTGATTCTTGATGACCCAAAAAAGGGAAGGAAGCCCAGAGGCCTGCCCCCGCCACCTTCCATGGAAGAGGCTTCCAGCCTGGGCCAGGGGAGAAGAGAGGGGGAACGGGACAAGTGGCACTTTGGGGCTCAAGGATGTCTGAAATTAACTTAGGGATGTTCCATTTGAGCAAAGAGGGATCTAGCACCTAATATTGGAATGATTTCTTCACTCTTTGGACAAAGTCTGGGACATCAGTGCTAACAGACCTTGTTTGTATCCTGGGGGAAAATGGTAGAGACCCCATTAGGTTCTGGGATTCATTTTCCCCAAGTCTTGCCTGCCTGATCCTGTGTGACTTGCATGTTCAGAGCCAGGCAGGGCATAACGGAGGCCACTTGCTGCCTCCTCTCTGCCTGTGCTTCCCCATCCCACCTCCAGGTTCCTTTATTCCTCCTGGGGTGCCCCTGGCAGATTCCCACCTGGGTCTTCTCTACTGGAAGCACCCATGGTTGAAGGAGCCCTTTCCTTTCTTTAGAGCCAAACTTCCCATGACTCTTCTGAGCTGATATAACTCACAGGAAGGTGTAAATGGTCAAACGTTCCCTTTCTGGAGAATTTGCTTTTTAAAGAAAGGGCGGGAGAATACACTTATTGACCTAAAGTAATCACTTTTTACAGTATACTTTTAGGCAGTGTGGCATGGGGTCAGAAGGGGACTGCTTCTGCTAAGGGGAGGACAGGATGCCCTCAGATCATACCCCTGTGCATGGCCCTGTGTAGACACACAGTGAGAGCCTCGTCATTAGGGCAGATGGGCACCTATTCCAAAATTGGGAAAAACTTAGCACATGCAGTTTCTCATTGTGTGTGCAGTAAATGTTGTCATGGGCTGTTGGACCCTCATCCCTGTAGTTTCCACACTATGGATGCAGCTCTTCTCCATGGCCACCACCCCATGCTGTGGGCACGTGTTTTTTGCATGGCCTGCATGATCTCAGGCCCAGGGGGTGAGGCTTCTGTTCTCCCATGGATTTTTAACTCTGTTCTGTGGCTTTTGGCTTGTGGTCAACCCAACTTTGGAAGCATGAACTTAGATTTCTCTTTAATATCTCTGTATTAAGAAACCATGTTTAAAATAACTTTAAACAAACTTAAAAGTTTAACTTTAAAGTTTTTTTTTTTTTAAAGTAACCTTTGGAAGAAACATTAAAGAAAACCTAAACCTTGAGCCACAAACATGCCTTTCCTCACCATACCAGATCTCCCCATCATTCAGACCCTCTGTTTCTTTCTTGTTCCCATGCAGCCTTAGGGTCCACCCCCATGGCAATTGCTCCTGAGCAATTGCTCCTGGTTCTGAGCCTTGGAAGTCATTTCCCTGGAGTTTCTTTCTAGAGCCAGTTTCGGAACCAGAGACCTGTAGGTCTACTCAGATGTCTGTCCCTCACCAGCCTCCTGAGAATAGAAAAAAAAAAAAAGGCACAGGATTTCCTTTCTAAAGAGACACCTCTGCTCTTTCATCTTCATTGATCCAAGGCAGATTTTTCTTTACACCATGCTGCTTAGCAAAGATGTGCTGCTTTGGGAGACCTGGCTGTTTCTTGTGTGTCTCAGTTTCAGTTTACACTCAGTGGAGTATTAGTTTGCCTGCTGGTGTGGGGCAGAATCTGGATCTTGGCCAAGTATGCCTTAGAATCAGAGAGTTTAAGGTGAATGCTAACTTGGACAAAAATTTAGTGAATGCAGGAGTGTCCACCACTGTGTGACAAGGCCTGGGAAGGAGGCAGAGTAGAGTTGGGCGGGGTCAAGAGGGAGGAACCTGGTGCCTTGGCTTAGCGTCCTGGCACCTGCCTTTCATGCCCTCTGGCATGGCAGCTCCCTCTCATGCCTCTTTTTGCTGTCCTCTCTCACGTGAGCTTGAATCAAGAGAAGGCAGCAAGCTCATTCAATCCAGCTGCCCTGAATCGTGCTGAGAACTCTAGCTTTGTGACCAAGGTAGCATGGTTGTCATTGGCTGGTAGAACTTAATAGGCATGAATGTATTTGAGATTTGCAGGTTCTGTAATTTGGTTGAGTCATAAAAGCACAAGGAGCAGATGAACGGAAATCACCTGTGTATTTCCTAGGGCATCTTCTATTTTCCTTGCCCTGGGACCTCCAGTGCCTGGGCCTGTTCCCATTTTCTCTCTGAAGACTAGAAATAAGTGGTTTCTTGACTCCTAAATGGCCTCCTCAACAGTGAAGGAGCCCAAGTAGGTCAGGAGAAGAACCAGAAAAGTCCCCAGATACTCCTTTCTGTTTAATGCCCCACCCATCCAATGCAAATGGATGAGCGGGGAAAGTGGGGCCTGGGACCAAAGAATGTACTCAAAGGAACCCAATGTCATACATGCGCTGCTCTTTGTCCTGGATGTTCTGGGTCCAAGACACTAAACTGGAGTAGGAGTCAGAACAGTCTTAAGTTTCCTTTAAATGGCAGACCTCTGGGCTTGGGGGCTCCTGGTTCACCAGGCCTTCCAGTTGCCATTCTGCTGTCCCCAGGCCTTCTAACCTGGCTATGCAAAGTGCTATTGAAAAGTGAGACTACTTTTCCCAATTCCTTCTCATGACCAGAAAATGGCAGCTGGCCAGTTTAGTGCCCTGTTTTAAGGTGTGCAGGGAGGTTGTCTCATCAGGGCAGGCCACGCCTGCTTCCCTGTGTCCCTGAGCCCTGGGAGGCCGATCATTCGAAACAAGACATCACTTACATCTGGGGAGAAGGCTCAGGGCCTCTTCATCCCATTGGCCCTAGAAATTTTCTGGTTACTGTGACCCTTAACCCCAAGCTCAGTGTAGATCTGAAGACTGCAGAAGGAGATTCATGGCAGGCCCTTCCTGAGGCCTGGCTGGCTGCAGCAATGGTGAGAAGGAGCCACTGGGCAGTGGGAAGGGCTTTGTGGCCAGAAGGAAGTTTTCTGTGCTCTCTTTGGACATCAACCTGATAGTTCAGGGCTTCTCTCCTCCAGCCGACCACAGGGCTACCCAAGCCCCGTCACCTTGCCCTTTTGCGCTACTCCTCCATGACTGTGGATTCAGGCATATGGAGTGCAGAGTTGTAAATCTACAAATGCTGCAGCCCGTACATTAACATTTGTGTCCATTTAGACCTTCAACACCTGGCTGAGTGTGTGTGCCCATGTGTGCATGTGTGTAATGTAGTTCATAGTTGATAATATATGTATATAACAGCTGACATATTTATATGTGAGTGCAGAATTAGTGCCTGTGGCAGTTTTCTGTATTTTAAATTTGTTGAATCAAATTAGTTTTATTTTAGGGAAGGGAGGAAAGGGGAATGGGGGGGAGCGTAGGAAGGATTCTTAGCAAAATCATTCTTTAGGATTATTAGTTGCCATCTCCCAATGAGCCTTCATGATGCCCTTTTCAAATAAATGTTAATGTTGTCATTACATGGCTGTCTGTTTGATTTCTTTAAGGTAAATGGTTTGGGGGGATAAAAACAGAATTTGAAAATACCAACTGTGTACCACTGACATTTAGGCACCCCCCACACACACACACACACATACTGACCCTGTTTTACTTGTCCCAGAACCAAGGAGGTAAGGGAAAGGATGCTACCAACATGGAAACTTGAGGCCAGGATTCCCAACATAGGCGCATCCTCAGTTACCGGGCTCAGGCCATTCTTCATTCTAGTTCTTTTCTTATAACCCTTATTGAGGGATACCCTATATTAATATGATTTTCTAACTCTCCTCATATCAGGACTTCCCAGGTACAATCCCCATTTTCTTTCATTGCGAACTCCCAGAGCATCAACCACAGGGGTATTTGTAAATGCTATATACAAATGTTTCCCAGCTGGCTTTGATATATTCTGTCCACTGGTGTGCCGAATGCAGGTGACAGGTATGCCTGCAGCCCTGTAGGTATCTGTGAATCTCTTGTGTATTGTAAATGTGTGGCTGCAAACCTGTGGCCCCAGCATTGTGAGAATGCCACAGGGAGATTGAAAAGAAACATAACACACAACACCTGCCTTCTGCCCTACAGAGCTGAAGTTTCCCTGAGAGAACAAGACATGCAGACAGCAAGTAACTTGCCATTCTAGCCACAGAGCATTCCCTCCATGCTGAAGGGGACTGGCTGCAGAAACACTAGGGATGAGGAGTAGCTGGAAGAGATCACATTGCCCAGCAGAGCTGGACTTGAGCCTGGGCTTGTGTTGAAAAACGACATCATTTAAAATGGGGGTGGGAGGGTCTAGAGAGTGAAAAAGGATGGCAGAGGAACAATGAGAAGACTAGTAGGCATGAGGCAGAGCCTTCATTCAAGGAAACAGTCTTGGAAGGGAAGTGAACCTGGTTGACAAGGACTCTGTATGCCCTGCCCAATAGTTTGGAATTAACAGAAAATCGGGAGGTGGAAGTACTGTTTTGGCTCACAAGTCAGAGAATATGGAGAAAGAAGTATTTTTATATGTTAATACGAGTAATTTGTATATGATGGTTGGAGAAGAAAGCACCTGGAGACAAGTTGGTTAGAACAAAGGCCTGAGTGGGGAGGACTGCGAATGAAGGGCTGCATTCAGGCAACATGGGGATGAGGAGCTGGGCCAGAGCCAGTGGGGAAACAGTCGGGGATCTCCAGTTTTGAGCCTAAGAACTGTAAGAGGCATCTGAATATTGTGTTGTATTTAAACAGATGTTTCTCCATGAGCATGTGTGGAAGGCAGTGAGACCATGTGTCTGGGAATATACCAACTCTCAGCCTTTATGCTAAGAAGGGAGAAGTAAATGAAAACTCAACTTGAAATTGCCTAAGGGACTTGCCTAAGGTCACACAAGTAGCAAAGGGCCCAGTAGGCAACCAAATCCAGAAAAGCATGACCACAGCTTCCCACTTGACAGTCTAGAGTCCCCCCATTGATGAGTAGGCTTTGTGAGGTGCCTGCCTGGCTCCCTGAGTCCCCATGGTCACTCTTGTAGGAATTGTGACTTTTGGCACATCTTCACTCAGTGCAGGAAGGTAAGAAATGTAGCCATCCTAGGAACACTGGACTGAAAGCCACCCTGAGTCATTCAAACTAGTTGGTCCCCTGAAGATTCATGGCTGGGGGGAGGAACGTAGTCTTTCCATTTTATCCCCATCTAATGAAATACAGTGGTTACATGGAAACCACTATGTTTCTCTTCCAGTAAATGCTGATCTTTGTATTTTAGTTTTATTCACACAAAGTCAGAGACGGCTGTGAAATTTGAAAGGCTTTATTTCCTAACTACAGATAGCTTTAAGGGTTGAATGTCTGTCGCTACCCCCAGCCCCAGCGAGAAGCTGGCCAGGCAGAAGGGCAGGCGAGCCAGGGGGCTTTAGGATGGACTTCCCGGAGGAGAGAAGCCCCTGCGCCCCGCTGCACCCTCACTGGCCCTTCTTGTGTGCGTTCTTGATGATGGCGTTCTTGAACAGCGTCACCAGGGGCGTCTGGCTCTTCTCGGAGGTCATGAAGCCACCGTAGCGCTTGTCCTTGGGCGGGCTGCCCCAGCGGAAGTGCTCCATGCGATAGGGCCCGTCGTCCTTCTTCTCGGCCGCCGCCGCCTGGGCTTCGGGTACCAGGCCATACTCCAGGTCGGCGAGGGCCGCCGCGTCCTCGGGGCCGGGCACAGCCTCCCTCTTGAACTCGAGCGGGAAGGATTCGGCCGACTCGTCCTCCGCGCCGTTGGGGTACACCTTCACCGGGCGCCGCTTCTTGCCCACCGGCTTGCCCCAGCGGAAGTGCTCCATGGAGTAGGAGCGCTTGCCCTCGCGCGGGCCCGGCTCGGCGCCATCGTCGCGGAACTCGGGGCCGCCGGCGGGCAGCGGGACGTGGCCTTCGCCTGCCGCGACCTCCTCCTCGCGCTTCTGCCCCGCGCCGTCGCTGCTGCTGCCGTTCCGGCGGCCGAACCGGTCCCAGCGGAAGTGGCCCATGACGTACTTCCGGGGGTTCTCGGTCAGCGGCTGCTCGTCGCCATTGCCGGGGAACACGGGCGTCTCAGCGGAGAGGTCGGGCTTGCAGGCCCGGATGCACGCCTGAGGGACAGCGAGCGCGTGAGGGAGGCGCGGGCCCTGCTGCCGCCGCCCTCCCGGGATGGGGCAGGACAGCGCGCCATGTTGCCACTCGAGGCCGCCTGCCCAGCGCGTGGGCCGCGCAGCCCTCTCTACACTCATGGTCATCTTCCGGGACTCACCCTGAACGTGGCCCTTTTGTCCTCTTGCGTAGACCGTCCGGGAACTATAGCAAACACCCTGGTTCACCCCATCCTACTGTGGCAATGAGGAACCCACCCTCCAGGCTCCGTGTTGGACCACTATACACCTGATATATAGGAACTGCTGCAAAAAGGGCAGATGGTGGTAGCAGTTGGCACTTCATGAGTTTTGAGTAAATAGCTATAGTTCCATTCAAGTCCAAGTGGGGCATGGGGCTGAAATTTGGACCTCTCCAGGTGATAGAATGTCTTACTCTTACCCTGTGATCTGCAAATCTACTTTATATCCCACCCCAGTCCTATTCCTGCCCTATGTCTCAATTTTTTCTACGTCCCACTTCGCTCTTCGCTTTGATTCCTTTGAGTCTTATTAGCTCATCTCACCATACCCTCTTCCCCCAGCCTGTAGTCTTTGGAAAATAATGGCTTATTTCCCTATCACCTCATTCTGACTGAAAGTCAGGGTTATTTCCTTGTACATGTCAAAAGCTGGTATCTCTGCTCCCTATCCTTAGAGGACTCAATTATGGTACATATTTGCTGAGGAAAATGACCCATAGGTTGCGTCCTTGAGTTTTTTGGCTACTTGGAAACTATAAAGGAGGAAACAGGGGGATTCCAACCACTCTGTGAAGCTGGGAATTTTCTACTCCAGGGATTTAGAATTATAACCCTACAGAATGTGAAGAGTGAACAATAAAAACTACCTAATTTAAACTCCCCTCCCCTGGACAGATAATAAAACAGGAGGCTCAGAGAGATGGAAGATACTGGTCAAACCGCCCCCCCCCACACACACACACACACTCATTGGTGACAGAAATGGAACTAGAGCCCATGGACTCTGACTGTCCAATGCTCCTACTCTGGTGAGCTCTCAACGGGAGAGGCTGTGTAGTGGATGTCTCTTGGGTCTCTCTGAACTAGAAATCACAGAACACCCCAAGCTCTTGTTTCTAACTTACACATGAAAGCTCTGTGTATGAGGAAATCACTTTCTTCACCCTAGCTCTCCACCAAAAAGAAACATAGGATACAGTAATGGAAATTCCACCCTCACTTGGCAGGTGCTGGGTGTGTGTGCATGAGCTTGCTGTGTGTGCACACACACACACATACACACAGACACCACTGTGGTGACCTGGAGGAAACCCTATTCTGGCACAACATCCTTTACAGTTCTGGAAAGACTGCAGAGAACTTGGAAGCATGAGACATTCGGCACCAGTTACTGAAATAAAGGTACTTTGGTCTTTCCTTCTCCCTCTACAGATGTTTTGTAGAAATACCTAGCTGGCTTCATAACTGGTAATAGATAAAAGGGAAAGAAATATGGAGTAAAAGTGGTGATATGAGGATATTTTAAAAGGAATAATTTGAGGACAGAAAAATTGAAGGGGAAGGGTCAACTGAAAAAAACAATTATTATGGCACTGTCTCTAAATAGGTTAAATGGTCTGGGGTCTCCCTAGAAAACAGGGCAAGGAGTAAGGTTAATCAAACAGAAACTGTGGCTCTGACCCATATCCTTGAGGCTGCTTCCTCCTCTCTCTCATTGGCTCAATCTTGACTTCATAGCAAAGTTCTGCTCCTGCCCTGGGTTGAATCACCCCAATCAATGGAAGTAAAATCTCCTCTTCCCCATGTCCCTTTCTTTTGAGCTGTCCCAGCCCCAGTCCCATCTGATGCCCAGAGGTGGCACCCAAGGCCCACATACCAGCAGGTTGCTTTCCGTGGTGAGGTCCTGACACTGGCTGCTCTCTAGGCACCAACCACGCACTTCCACGGAGGCCTGAAGCATCAAGGCCAGCAGCAGGACCCCTGAGCGGCTATAACACGATCTCGGCATCTCCCAGGTGGCAGGCTGAGCTCTGCAGAGGCAAACAAGATTGAAGGGACCCCTGCAAGGAGCAGAACAATTGTTGGCCACTCACCAGGAAGGACTGCAAGCCAAAATTAACAACACTCACTTGTGGAGTCCAAGGCTTTTTGAGGACAGGAGCAGTGCTGAGAAGAAGAGAGATGTGCAAGGTGGAGTTGTGATAGGGAGGAGGGGAGTAGGACCTGGAAGACTATGGGCAATTTTATTTCCTCTTAAAACCTGACCCCTAAAGAGATTAGGGCTGCAAGGTATTTTGGAAATCATCTAGTCCGGCCCCTCACTTGACAGATGGAAAAATTAAAGCTCAAGAGAGATAAGGGAAAGCTAAGTACCCCTGATTCCAGCACAGAGCTTTCTTATTTCACTGCCTGCATAAAGCTAGATTTCTAACACCCTGCATACAGTGGATGAGAATAACATGAGAAAGACAAAGGACTCTAAAATTCCTGCCAAGGATGGTCATTTCCCCTCCTCCTCCACCAGGATCCTGTCATTCTTCTGAAATTCTGCTTCCCATGACTATTAGTTTGCAAATAAAACTCCTGGGCCATTTGGTCAAGACCTTAGGCAACCCAACTGATGTCCTTCACACAAGTCACTCGGGTGATCACCATTTCCCAGACCCTAGTAACTTCAAAGAGATTAGTTTACAAACCAATTCTCTTAAAAGTGGCTCATCTTTTGAACATGTTACACATCAGGCCTCTTGTTCTCTGGGTCTCTCAGATGTGGTCTGAAGTAGCTGGACTTAAAGAGGATGTAGATGGCCAGGAGAAGAAGGACAGATGGATTGGAAGGGAGTTACCTCTACTGTGAATAGCCACTAAAGGCACTTTTCGAGAATCCAGAGAGTACCTTTGGCTGATACTGGGGGCAAGAGATCATAATGCAGCACCGAGGGGAGCACCCACAGTGCCTTTGGTCCCTGTGCCAAGCCCTTTCCCAGTCTGCCACATTCCTCCTTATCTAGGTAGGCCCCTAAAGCCATCCCTACAGTCTGTAATCAGCTCACCACCCACTCTACAATCATTAGGGTTTCAGAATATCTTCCCCACCAACTGTAGGAAGAAATCTAATTAGATGATAAAAGTAATTCACATTAAGGTGTGGATGACTAAGTGTCTTCTCACTCCTAGTGAATATTTGCATTTTAAAATAAGTTTACCTAAAAGAAATCTCTCATTTGGGAAGTCATGGGCCAAATCTTTTTCAGAGATGAGGCTTTGGAAGTGCAAGTCCCCCAGGCCTTCATTGTCTACTTCAGGAAGGGGCTTCCTTCTCTCTGCCCCATCCTTGCCCCATTTCCCAAGAGCTAAGCTAACTCACCAGAAAGGAGCTGGCTGTAGAATTGTTACCACACTCAGGCGGAGCATTTTCAGAGCCACCATTAGATGGCGCTGGCAGCCAGAGAGTTGGGCCAGCAGTGCCTCTGCCATAGAGGGCAACTGGGAAACATTGGTCAAATTAGCTGTCCTCTCCTGATTAGGGACAGGCTGCTCCTGTTAGAGCCTGCTGACGCTCCAGTTCAAGCAGGCAGCCTGAACTTGGTGGACAAGACAATTAGACCAAAGTTCTGAGGTTACACAACACATTTGGGTCAGAAGTATAACCGGATGTTACAGGAGAATCAGAGAAATGATAGTATAAAATAACATATTAGTAGAAAAAATGAAATCACTCAGGTCTGACAGTCCCCTCAACTGCACTCCAGTTTTCTTCAAAGCTGACCATTCTGGCATGGCTTCCATTTTCTAATAGCCAAACTCATGATTTCAGACTTTTCTGAAAATTCCCCAAAGAGCAGTGCCTCTCCTACTGCCCCACTGACTATGCTGCATAGCATGGTGGTACTTTCACTCCCACCCTCTCAGAGCTCCTATTTGTAAAAAGTTAGATGGTTTCCTGAAAGCAATTTGTTTTGCTTTGGTTATGTTTATTTCCATCTTTATACCGTGAAAAAAATGTCATCATATTCATACCATTTTTTAAAGCAACAGAGTGGTGGGGAGATATCAAAAGTTTTACTTTTTGAAGTAGAGGAGTATATAATCCAATAATTGTAAGCCCTGGAAAAATAGACACTTACAATTTGTTATCTTGACATTAACTTTATAATATAAAGAGTGGTGGGAGTCTCTCTGAACTAAACAAAACGTTATGTTTGTTGCTCTAAAACTGTGCACTGGCCATGCCCTTCAATAAAGGTGAGAGGAGCAGAGGGAAAGTTTAGTCCTTGCACCATAATGCACACATGACAGGTCCTATAACAAGTGTCAAAGAAATATTAAGTCCTTAAATTAGCTGTAATCTGTACATATCTTATAAAGTGACAAAACCCACATTTTAATTTTTCTTGGCTCCTTCCAGTCATTCTGTGAAAACTACCCCAGTTGCGTTTATACATGAAGAATTTGGGGGATCCAGATGCTCAGCGGACTGTCCCTCCTTCATTGGAAACGACCCTTGCCTGAGCCTCAGTCCGTTCCGCTGGTTGTCCAGTGCAGAAATGTGGATGAACGGTTCACTCTGCGATCCTGTTGCAGACGTTCGCTGCCAGACGGGGTGTTTCAGGACCTCGGACAGTTCCCACCCCGCCACCTGTTTTTAACCCCATCTGGGTCCTGGAGACTGAGGGACTTTTAACTGCCTAGTCTTGTAATTGATCCCACAAGCATGTAGTTATCACAACGCAACCACCTAGGCATCAAGGTGGGCAGGGAAATGAGGATTCAGGAGTTTTGAGTGCAAAAAAATCTAAAATGCAAATTCTTCTCTTGCCCCATTTTCTAACATTAATTTGCGCTTGAGTGTATGGCATTTTACCCTGAAGAAGTGACACATCCAGAAAACTGGGAAGAGGATGAACGCAAGGCGGGAGTCGAGGGAGCTCTCCCTAGCTTTCCTTAGGGAGTGGTCAGAGTCTTAAGGGGTCCTAGCAGTCCGCTGCCCCCTCCCCCTCTTTCCCATTCAGGAACCCTGGACAGCAGCGATCCCGGGGGACCCGAGGCCACCGGCTCCCTGGAGGCACTGCTGGCGGCGTCGCAGCCCTTCACCCACCATCGGGACGCTGGCCTTGCTCTTCCGCAGCCGGTGGCTTCTTACTCCTCAGTCAGCTCAGAAAGTTTGCAATGAGCTCAGGACCCCTGCACTCGGTCCTCCTTCGGGGCCAGCACAGAACATCCCAAGGCCGGGGGCAGGGGATCCCGGTGAGAGTGCGGTTTGGCGCCGCTGCACCCTTACCTGTCGCGGGGAGGCTGCTCTCTGGGGTGCGAGGATGCTCGGTGGCCTCTCTCAGTCACTTCTTTCCCCCTCTTTCTCCTCCGGCACCGCTGCTTGGTCCCTGTCGCTGTCCTCGGTCCTTATATACTTGCAGGGCTCGCCCGGTGGGCGCTGGACGTGAGCCTCCGCGCTCTGCAGCGACGAGCAACTCCCGGCCCTGCGAAGGGGGGCCGGGGCGGGAGGGGGCTTCCAGGCAGGGGCTGAGCGCCAGGGCAGACGTGCCCGGAAAGCCCGGAGGCTGGCATTAGCACCATCCCGCTAAGGGCACACCTGGCGGCCTGTGGTCAGGAAGAACTTAATTAAGGATGGTGTTGGGTCTCAGCCTAGGACAGGCAAAGGCTTAGCGTCCCGGTGTGAGGCAGGCCTAACTCGAGAATTATCTATGTGCGTGCTAAAGCCGGAATCTGCCTCATTGGCGCCTGCAGGTAAATATCACCACCAAGAAGTGCGTCTGTTATGCCTCAGATTTCCCCAGTGTATGGAAAGTGTAGTGGGGAATAACAATTTCTCTATTCCATGTAGGGGCGGAGGGAAGGAGCAGAGAAGGTGAGGCTCTGGCCAAGGAGAGGTTGCCTCTTGGGGATGTGGAAGTGAATTGTACTGCCCCCCAAGGTTTAGCCAGGGCAGCCTTCCTGCACCCCAGCTCCAAGGAAAG